CAAACCACCCCCTCTGATTGTCTTTCTCCCACTTTACGCCAGATAACACACAGCCCTCACCAAAAGCCAACCCCCCCGACAAGCGCGGGGGTGAGGGGGGAATTCTGGCAGTTGGTCCACACATCTTCAAGCTGCCAAGGTTGAGAAACACTGATCTAAATTGCCAGGGTAATCAAGCACTGTCTCATCTCAACCGCTGAGTCCAGCCTTACAATAAACGTTGATTCTGAAGCTCTCTGACATGACGGTCTTGTTAGTCCCCATCAGCGTATAATTAACTTGGCAGTGAAACTGGGCCTCGTGATCCTCTTTGATGACTCGTGATGAAAGCATGCTGCGGGCGGTGATCAGCCCACTGGATTCCGTGATGACGGTAGCGTGGACCCCTATTTCTGGGGGAGAGAGAAAGCAAGCAATGGGATGACACTTGTTCCAAAGAACTGACTCAGAGAAGAACCCATCGTGCTCCAAGTGTTGAGAAAACGACCGTTTTATTTTAATTTTTGTAATGGGGTCTGAATGTAGCCAATTGCAATGAAACCAACAAGACAGAAAAAAAATCTTCCAGGTTCTTTGGCCAGTTTTGTCTGGAAGTGCATATCCTATGCAATGCTGGTATCTTACAACAGAAATAGTGCTGCTTCTCTGTTTCTCAGCAATCCACGATTAAGATCCCTTTGATTGGTTCATGCCTAGCATTAAGCCCTAGTTTCACTTAAGCATGGTTTATGGTACAAGCCACAACTGTCTGGGTTCCTACAAGATACTTAAGCCAAAAATACATACTCAAGATGGTCTAGCAGAACAGAACTCCAGCCTATGATACAAACGGTCTAGGAGTGCTTTTCAAAAGTCGAAACTTTCCAAAAAAGCTGGAAAAAAACACACATGACTGACCCAGCACACTCCAAAGATCAATGCACTTGCAAAGATCATCATTTCCTGACCAAGGGAGAAAGTGATAGGTTCCTCCTATTTTTGTCCAGAATCTGCTGAGAAACTTTCCTTCATTCCTTAACCATTGCAGACTCTGCCTGCATGATCTCGAAGGAGCATCAAGTCTGTTCTGAAGGCAGTAACAACCGAAAAGCAATTCAACTAAGGTACAATTTTAAGAACTTCTGACTTTACCACTCCATCTAACAGCCTTCTTATTGTAAACTTCCTAAACAGGCAGGTCTTAACCCAGGAAGGCTCATCGTTTTGGCTGGTCACATTTAATAGATCCGTTTCTGAGATAGTGGATCAAGGACTGCATCGTACATTCAGACGACGAGAGGTTCCTTTGTTCGTGTAACCAGGCTGTTTTAGCCAACGTGGCCAGATTCAGGAGTGTTGCCCACCACTAAACCATCATCCTATAGGGCAGAGGGTCCGAAGGGCCTCTGGGCCACAGGGTCACCTCCTCCTCCAGAGGGGGAGGGCTTCCACCTCATCTTTTCCTTGACCCACCAGTTTGGAGTTCTCATTTCCCACTTTCGGTTTATTCTTAACCCCTTTGCTCTTCAGCCATGGCTCCCCATAGCCATCATACTCACGGGTCACCCAAGTGAATTAAAAACTTACTGTTGGGGACCAAGTCTCTCCTGGCCCCCAGAAGTGGATGGCACTGTTCCCACCCACAGGACAGGCAATACGAGGACGCAGTCCGGTTTTCCTGGATAATAAAACGCCAATCTGCAGAAGCCCTGCCTTTCCCCGGGTGACACCGTGCCCTTCGCTCGCTCCATGCCTGGGACGACCTTTGGGGAACATCAACGGTAGGACATACCTCCATCTTTGGGGCGCAGGTGCTCCCCGTTCTTGTACCACGCAATGCTTGGAGCCGGGAAGCCGTTGTGGGCAACGCACGTCGCTATCTGAAGAACAGAAATGCTGACAAAGATCAGGCTCTGCATCTCTAGTGGGAACAGCTCAGTTATTATTACGGGTTCAGGGTTCAAGTTCCAAGCCGGAGGTAGAAATGCCTTTTACAAAGCTAAAAGCAAAAACTCTGGGCGAATCTACACTGGGCGACAGGCATGTGATCCGTTTGATTCTATACAGTCGATGCAGACTGTATCAGCCCCTTATTCAGTGCAGGCCTGCTGGGCTCCAAGGATTTCTACAGATAAAATTAATACTTTTCTCTCCTTGCCCCCAAACAGACACTTTCTCCCGCAGGGAGGTTTTCTGTTAAAGGCAGCAGCAATGGGCAAATTTGGTACCTAGAGAAATGTCACAGTTTTTAAAAGCAAGTTTCTACTCTTCATGTTTGGGAAGAAAAATGTTGGCATCTAACAGTTCAGGGGAAAATAATTTTGGATTAGCTAATTGCGTTGTCCCCACTCCTTTCCTTTCCATCTCTTACTTCCTTTTAGAATATCATTAGAAACTATAAATGCACTTTGAAGTCACAATGGGGATTTGATTCAGGACAGCTTAAGCCAGTGTTTTTCAACCTCGGGAACTTTAAGACGTGTGGAC